CCTTTTGTTCCTTTTGTTGGGAGAGTTACCGTTGAACATCAACGAATCACCAGCAAAAAAGGTGGTAGTGAGATACCGGTGGGGCAACTTTTAAGGGAAATGGGGTGCGCCCAACTGAGCATGGAATTCAAGAAGTTAGGGGATTTTTCACTTTGCATGCCAACACGCGGCTCCACGGAGCAATCTTGGAGGGGGAGGGGGTGCAGCCCACAAAATACTGCGGATTTAAACAGCGGATGTGCGTGGCGGGCATGGCACAAAAGGATTTCTCCCAGACCCGTATTTCAGGATTGCTAGGTCGAATTCACAGTGAGGTCGGGTGACCTCGCTATAATCTACCCAGCCCCATTGCTGACCGAATCACGCCTGAGTACTTTGCCATTGCCGGCTCACGCCTCAAGAGGAACCGACTTGCCGAACTTGCACGTGCTGTTCCCAGGCCACCAAATCCCACCCCGGCAAAGGGGTTAGGACCTTACCAGGCCTCCCTAATCCTTGGGTGGGGTCTGGGGGGGGGTTGCCTGAGTTGTCGGGACGAAAATCAAAGGCCGCGTTGCAAAAGAATCTTCTTGGAGTAAACTCTGCGGAAGAAATGTGAAAACCATTCTGTGGGGAAGGGGTCTAATGCAATATCTCTCCTTCTTTGCAGGGATCCCTCCTTCGCAAAGTTGCTACGTTTCAAAGGAGCAGGTGGGTTCAACTCTTGGTGTTTCCCCAGAGATTGAAAAGCTGGTTGTTGGCCCAGCTGCCAGTCACAGCCACACTCCTAAACCATCAGGGAAAGGAAATAAATGTGAGTCCGGCAAACCCAGCTGTCAAGATCACGCGCGAATCTGGCGCATATATTCAGTCAGCTCTGGACCAACATCAATCAACAGCCCCAAACATGGGTTTGACAAGTTCCCTGCATATCAGAGTTGAACTAATGTTTGGGCGGGGTTCCCTTTCAAAATCGGACAAACATGCTGTTGTGTGGGTAGGGTTCCTTTTTGGCACTCTAGTCTAGGCCGATATGTTGTTATGCTATGCAATTTTATTGGATTCACACACATGCATGCGCCCATACACCTGCAGGTAATGACTCAAGGACCAGCTGCATCTGGTCTTGCTCTCGGCATCTGTGGACAGTAAACAGTCCCTAATACCTCCAAAGAATATCAGCCATACATGTGTGTTGTATAGCCAAGATGGGAGATGGTACACATTCAGGGGCTTGATGCCATATCCCACAGTTTCACAAAGGGATCCTAGGCAAAAATTGGCCAACATGCATCCTTTCAGCAATTGTGTGAGATTAGCCTTTGACCTAAACCTCCTGTCCATGGGAACAAACGGTACACACTTTTTTGGGGGGTTGGTAGCTGCTCTCCAAGTAAGGGAAAAAGAAGTCGCCCCACCGGAGGTCTAGGTTCACTCAAGGGCCCAGGAAACCGAGTGTCACATGTGTCAACCTCCACCTCCCGTCTCCCGGTGCTGGGGTTCAGGGCAACGGCACCTGGCATGTCGGATGACAAAGGGGGCTCCGTGCAGCAACAACATGCGGGTTGACCTCAAGGGCGGAAATAAATAACAACCCCTTGATATGGACAAATGATCCTGAACTTGACTCATGAAGTGAAGGAGGGCTTCCAACGATTAGTGGTGCCTTTTTAGATGGCTTTCCGGGCAGTGAACAAGACGCCAACTATGTGTGGAAAGACACACCCTTGTCCTATGCGGTTCCCCCCCGAAAGGGTCATTAGAACAAATTGTGAGTCCCCGCGCACTTTTCTGGCTGAAATTGAGCGAGTTCCCCCATGTCCTGAACATTCCCGAACCCCAAATCGCCTCTTTCCCCCATGTGGGAAACCTTAACATGACCGATTTCCCTTTGGTTTCCTTCCCGAATGAGGGAGGCATGATCATGTGTTGAACTAGAACATATGCTGATTTAAGAAGAGCGAAGCGACTGGGGTATTATAAGGGTACTGCACCCGGTTCCCCGCACCGTGGCCTCGGCTCCAGGTTGGGAACCCGGCGCCAGGCAGGCGGAACTGGGCTCATCGAGGCGGGGTGACTTTGGGCGAGGCCCGGCAGACCTCATGGGTTCCTGGCATCTCACTCTGTAAGGGGAACCTATTTCTGGCCTGTTGAGTTGATCCGACCAACCGGGAAAAGCGTGAACGGGGTGAAGTCCCCGCACCATGCATTGCTTCCCTTCCTTCCACTGAATTGACAGGCTAGAACAAGTTGTTGTTTCCGGCCCTGGAATAAACAAACAAACAACGAACCTGGCAACAGAAAGCTAAAAGCTCGGAAAACTCGGGCTCGGATCCTCCGATTTGGCAGGACTCAGTGCCATGGAGCACGGGGTAGGACGCCGGGCTCACGAAATAGATCGACCAAACGTTGCACAGGAAGCCTCCAGCTTGGATACTGGACGCTAAGGCACCAGAGGCACAGACGGCCCTTCAATCCGGCGGCCCATGGAGAAACATGTGACAACTCAGACAGCAGGTTGAAATCAGCCTGATGGGAAACCGACCCCCAAGCGACCACTTCTTCAAGTATGGAGGTCAAGGCAGCCAAAAGCGGCACAAACAGTTTGTTTAGGGCACCCGCCGGTTTGACGTAAAACGCAACTGCATGCAAGGGAAACAATCTTGTCGTTGGCAAGCTTCACGTTGGGGCGCGGGTGAAACAAAACTCATTTGTTTGCCTCTCATGTAAGGCTTCAGCGGACCTCATGTCGCAATTATTCTTGTTTAGGGCGCTTAGCGAGCCTTATTTGCTTGTGGTTGATGTCACAGGGGCTTAGAAGACCTAATTTGGACTCCTGTAAGCGGCCCAAACCCGCCACAATCAACGATCTGATCATTTGCTGACGTTTGTGGGACCCGCACATGGGGGTGTGCTTCGATTGCGGAGCTCATGGCGTTGGACTCGTTGGTCAGGGTCAACAGAATGATGAGGCGTAAAACCAAGAGCCTTAAAAGGCTTCCCCGGCCAGATGATTCTGCCACTTCGTCCTCGCATTCGGTCTCTTGCCAAAAAGGAAAATCTGACAGGACTAATTGAACAGTGGATTGATATCATAGAAATTGGAAAAAGCCCCAAAGGGCCCAACCCCCAACGGTTTCCCCCTGATTTCCCTCCAAGCCAACCCCAAGGGATCCCTTATAAAGAACACAAGGACCCCTGTAAAAACTCTCGTCAAAGCAACTGGTGAAAGATCAAACTGAATATTCCGTTGCTCAAATAACCCAAGCTACAGACTGAATAGAAGTTGATCAACATAAGTTGTTCAAGTGGTCAACTTCACTTGTTGGCCCCCAAGACTTGTAGCAACGACCCCAGACTTAGCTTCGGCGCTTCGGTTGCGATTCCCAAAATCCCCGCGCCTCGCAGTGCCAAGGGGCACCGCATGGAAATGCCCAGGCGCCACACAGATCCGGCCCCCGAAAGGTGAACTGGCTGATCTCAAAAAGGAAAGCGAAGGAAACCCCGGGCAGAAGGGCAAATTGTGAGTTGAGCCATAGGTTTTGACGGATAGTATTTTCTTGGGTTCGGTTTGGCGTTCTAAGCAGGGAGCTGAACTGAAAGTACTGGCACGTAGCAATGGCCGATGATGCTTCTCGACTCTAGAGGCATGGGTTCGGAAGGTATGTGCGAGCGGCGTTGAAGACCCCCTTGACCTCGTCTCTTGGGAGGGTGTAAAAAAGGAACGCAACCAAGATCCAGAGCAACGCAGCTTTATCCGCTGCAAATCAGGATTGAATCTGAATTAGGGAGGGTGAATGGAAGGTGGCTACAACCTTTCGTCAGCCAACTTGGGTGGTCCGAGCTGTTGCTTTGGGGCCATGCCATTGTATATCATTTTTGATTCCGTAGCTCATCTACACCTAAATTCTTGGAGCCAAGTGGCAAAGGCGAGACACACGTCCACACACACACACACAGATACACCCTGCAAGTGAATGAGCCATTTGTCGGCAGGGTAGTACACCCGCGCAGACTCGACTGCGCACTGTTCCTCGTTTTCGACCCAATCAAAATGCTAGAAAACGCAAAACGGAGAAACAACAAGGGCACGTCATCCACCGGCTGCAAATACTGCTTGCGCAGTACTTCATCTTGGCTTCGCGAACCTCGAAGCGATGTTCTTCGACAAACCTTCAATAATCTACTTTATGATTGCGCACCAAAAGCGAATGTTCTCCAAGTCTTGCAGTAGCAGCTGCGCCCCTTGGGTCGTTGAAGGCCTGAGCCCAGCCATGGAACGAGCCACGCTAAGATCCGATTTGGCCTTGCTGCGCTGGGAAGCGTGTCAACGTATTGGCACCTATCAATCTAGCTGCCCTAATGCATCAGTCATGGCTATGCGCTGGCCGGCTGGAGCGCCAAGAAACACCGAGCGATTTCTAACAGATTGGGAACCTACCAGCAACTGGATCGCCATATGCGTGAGACATGCAACATGTTACGTATGTTTGTGTGATGTGAGTTGTTTGAAACCAAGAGTACGCTCAAGAGACTAGAGAGAGAGAGACCGTGGGCCATCTGAGAATAAGCAATACATACGCCGGACATATGCTTGGCCACTCACACACCCACACATGCCAAACCATACCTCCTGCCATCAAATCTACCCTCTCTTGATCAACTCTTTGTTCCTTTCGCCGGAAGTGCCGAAGAATAAACCACTTGATCTGTATAAACCGTGCCAACTGCCGAACTAGCTGAGCTGCGCTTCGCTGATGACCATATTTGCATGCGCATATGCAGTTGAACATTTCAACAACGAGCAGTGCATCTGCCTCAGCATGATTGCTGCGCTTGTCGCCGGCCCACATCGATACCGTATCTGAACATAATGATCGCACCTGCCTTTTTCCCCAACCTGTGCAAGGTTGCCATGTTGTTGTTACGGCTATGGCATACCCAAACAAGTTGAACCAAACAAACAACAACAAAGGAGGCCTAAGGCCATATCTGACAAAGGCCCATATCTCACACAGTTTCGCACAACTCGCAGAATCTCATAGCCGCTGCAGCAACATGGCTTCGGAAGTTCTTCGTGAGGCGCCGCAACAGCCTGCGCGTTTTGCAGGGAGACCAGTGCAAGTCGGAAGCCTACCAAACAAAGACGACAGAAGGCTGGAATCCAACGAAGGATCCCAGATTTCTACAGCGCAGGCCGGCAAGGTTTCAGGGGCTCGGAAGGCCTGCGCTCAGCTTGCGGCACTTGCGCTTTTTGTGCGCCTCGAGCTTCGCCTCGAGGCCCCACAAACCTCAAAGGGTGCACCACGACTAGCACACCCTTCAACAAATGGAAGAAACACCGGCGAACCTCACCTGTTTGTATTCATCTAAGACTACCTACACAAATAGATAAATCCCATCTAGCCAAAACTAACGTCAATTTCCGTGTTTCAAGGCCGACTGTCAGCACACATCCCCCCAAGCCAGAAATGGCAGCACCGAAACCTTGAGTAAAGAACAGGTTCCTCTTCACCAAACAGCAGGTTTTTGCTGCTGCTGGCAAAGTTGCCAACACTGTTGTCAATAGTCATTGTCCCAGTCATTGCCATTCAACATCCCCTCCAGAAACAAATCCCTAAAAAAGCGTGAAAACCGCTCAAACTCCCCTCTAGAAACCTGTCAAATCCCCTCTAAAAGCAGGTTCAACTCCGGTCAAACCCCTCCAGCAACCGGCAAAACTCGCTCCCAGAAACCAGTCAAATTCCTACCTTTAAGGCCTGGCCCACCCTCTCCCTTGGAAACCAGCTCACGCATTTCGGCCGACTCACTGAGTTTAAAAACACAAGACATCAAGGCAAACTAAAGCACGGTGTATACCTCAAAGCAAGGCCAAAAGCGCTGGCCGAGGCGGGCAACACGAAGCGTTTGCCGGTTTGCTGGCATATGCAAGCAGATTGTAAGCATTGCAAGATTCAATCGGCTCTCCTGCAGACTGCCATGCAATCCAAACACGAAGACATCCATCATTGGAGGCATCTCCTTTTGCGGAGCCCACTGTTTTGGGTGTCATAGTCAACTGCCGGAGAGTACCAGCGCGTGAACGAAGTCCGGAGAAGGGCAGTGCTCTTTGTATGTCTTGACCGGGACCCTTCACTTCAATCCAACCTGCCCATGTGCCAAACCGGAGGGAGTGGTAATGACGGAGATTCACATGGAAGCCAAGGGGCAACAGCCCACGTCAACTGGAAGTTAACGCACGCCGCCGACATCCTGATTTGCTCCTCGCACGTCTCTGTTGTGAGGGGTCTTCATGGAGCGGCGCTCAAGGGTCAAAATGGTCAAACATATCCTGCATTGTTCGAATCCCGCAAGGCTGCAATGCTTGCTGCTTGAGTCTGTAGTCATGAAACTCTAATTCGCAGACCACAAAAGAAAGGTGGCTGGCCACTGAGATACACCAAAAAATATGCTCTGATTCTGATACTTAGTCTGCCCCACAACTTAAAATCCGCCGACCCTCTGCCTCCCGTCCCAGATCCTGCAGAAAGGACCGGCGTGGGATGCAACTGAAATGAAGTGGTTGGAATCCTCATAATTATTTCCCCCTTAAAAACACACCCGGACCAGTCCCAGGACTGGTCCAGGACCGGTCCCAGGACCAGTCATAGGACTGGTCCTCGTTGCCCTACACTTTGGATTTGTCCTTGGCTGAACTCAGCGAAGGTTCCCTCATTAACGAAAACCGCACAAAAATGGGAGCTCGTCCGTCAATTGGTGTTTGGCCAGCGGCCCCAGAACCCCAGTCCAGGGACCGTTTGGAAATTGAACCCCTGCTTAGCAGTGCCAAAAAAAGGAGGTCAACGGGAAACCCAGCCCCAAACTCCAAACCACCCATCCGAACCACACATTCGAAAGGACTGCGGCATGTGGTGGCTGATTTGCGCAAAGTGTCACTGGAGCCTCCCAAAAACAGGACCCTTCCCGCAAGGCTCTGAGGCGGGCACCTAGGACATCGTGATGTCCCTGGCATGGTGGCAGACTTCAGGAAAATACCCACCCCGCGAGGAAACCCTTGCCACGGCTTCATCACTTTCGAGGGGAATCCTTTGGCACAGAAAGCACCCATAAGCATAGGCAGATGTGTGGGAGTTCTTGCGAAAAAAAAGGGTGCGCCACGGCAAATGAGGTGCTTGAAAAAAGGGGAAGTGGCCCGCGCTTTGAATCCCAGTTTTGGGCTGAGTAAGCTCGTCGAGCAAGAAGTGCAGACTGTCGATCTGCGAGCGGGGTTCAGAATGGATCTGCGCAACAAAGGGGCCCAAAGAGCATAACCATGTCAGGCTTCCCTTGCTGAGCATCTAAGCAAAAGGGCATTTAGACCAACGCAGGGCCCAAAACGACGGTCATAGGTTTAGGGCGACCAAACTCGGTTTATCCCCACCCGACGTTGCCGTGTCACAGCTGCGACAGATCTAGGTTGGCAACTATGTGCAGCAACCACTCTTGAGGTGGTGGCTTTCAAAAAACAACATAGTGAATTTAGCAGAACCCCCCCCCCTTCAGAAGTCAAATCCACATGCATGGTTTCCCTACGCAAGGCTCAACCTCTGTTCAGTCCGAGGCGCTGCTTGCAAATGGGGCACTCCGCGCTGCGGCACAGCCACTGGTCGATGCAGTGCTGGTGGTACCTTGCCGGAATCCGAATCTTCAAGCATGCCCTGAAATCAAAGGTGACGAAGGGAAGCCAAAAGCAAACCAACCCGTTTTAGGGTGCTCTAATTTGCAGACACGCCATAATTCACCAACAAATAGAGGACCTAGATCTAGTGAGCTCATTTCAACCCGAAACCGGTGACCTCAAATTTCACGAATAACAGAGTCCAACCCACTTGCCCGAAGGACCTAAGAATGACAAGTTGGCCTTTCGATGAAACATGTTTGCCAAAATCAGGAGAGTATAAGGTTGAAAGGTCGATTTACTTGGGCAACTGTGTACCGTCTTTCCAACAATAATGGATGTGAAGAGAGGTCGCCTTTTCAAGAGGACCGCACAAAAGTCTTCCAAAGCCTCCTGTCGCCTTTCATGTTTGTTGGCAAAAGGGCAACTGGAAGCGTTCTGCCCTTCTTACCAAACCGACATTTACCGTGGACCAACATGCCAAAACCAAAGTGCTTCTGTTGGGAAACCACTGCAAAGGCAAGCCATTTCAAAACTTAAGGGAAGTGGAAAACGTGTAGAACTCGTTGGCTCAGACTTTGCGACTCCGGCCGTTTCGAGCGCCTCCTCGGTGTCATCAAAAGCCGCCGCAGCTGTCCAAGTGAATCATGCAGCAAGGACTTTGCCGGCAACAACTTTACGCCCGCGGGAATCTGAGCCATGCCATCCTTGTCGACCTGCTCACAAACCCACAAACGCCCTTCAAATCCACGGCGCAACAGCTAGGAGGGGTTTCGAGCATGAGCCAAACCCGTAACAGACAGAGTCACAGCTTCTTATTTGGGCAGAGGGGAGCGGGGGCCCAAACAGATCGCTAAGAAATACAGTGAGTCGGTTCAGCCTGAGGTTTATCCCCGCAACCCAAGACGACACGCAAAAAACGCTCAAGATTTGTGCTGTGGGTCAAAACCCTGCACCCCTAGAACGTCAAAATAGGTGGCAAATGGATGTTCATCCACCCCAAAATGGAGCCATAGGTTATGCCCCATGGCCATTTATCGCATCGTACAATGTCAAAGCAGGTCCCAGCAGCCCCTCCTCTCACGAGGTGCCGGACCTCCCCCCCTCGGGCGCACCGGTGCAAGCAGGGCAAGCTGCGCCTAGCAAACCCACGAGGGCGGGTTGCCGTGGCCACAAAAGTCAAACAAGAGCCCGCTGGGACTTTCCGCAGCCCTTGCCACCTTGATTGGCGGTTAGCTTTCGTCCAATGGAACCATATCAGAACGACCTGTGGGTGGGTCTGTTTGGAGCCAAAATGGCGAGTTTCCTTTTGGTTCCACCCCAGATTTCGGTCGGCTCAACAAAAGACACGCCCATGTGTCATGATAAGAAGAGTGTTGCAATCAGGTAGCCCCATGTGTTCCCGGGGCCCTTTGATAAGGCCTTATGGAACCCCAAAAAACAAGACCCTCTTACCCTGGATTCCATTCATCTCCCATTGGCTCAAAACATCTTTCCTTTGGAACCCTGAAACGAAACCTGCTGAAAATGGATTAATCCCTTGATTTCCTTTGGGTTTCCGCCGAATCCTGAAAGATCAAGGCCAGTGGGACATACATAGCCTTTGCCTTGACACTTTTAAAATTCGATTATCCGCAAGGCCCAGTAGTTTTGGTCAAGGAAAAAACATGTTGGTACATACCCCTTGTTCCTATAAACAACCGACTTCATCACTTGAAGTTGGATTTCCCTTAGGTTTCCCAGAACTTTGACTAACACATTGACCAAACTTGCGAAACCCAAAGGTTACAAGGTCGGCCTCGTTGAGATCCACCTCAGTGCAAAGAGACGCACCACTAAACATGCATTCAAGAAACCAACTCCACCTATCCAAGAAAACATATATATGGCTGTGGCTCAAAAATCCGGTACCAAAATGGAACCCTGGTAGGTGGAAACATAGACCAAAACCTGCGTAACCCCTCCTGTTTAGTTTTGAGCCACACACATATATTGGCTTTGGCTTCCAGTAATTTGCCCTGGAGCTGGTGTCACAAACGGCAATGTCTGATCCTCACGGGAATATCGCTTGGCCCACGTCTGGGGTACACTAAAATCATATGTCCCGAGTCTCGATTATGTTTGATATTTAGTTTACCCCGGAAAGTCAAATAAAAACCCTTGAACAAAATAACAATGTGACCCGCCTCCTTCCCCCCAAAACGCCAGAACACTACCTGGGGTCCGGACAGTGCGTCGCCATCCGCGAACTCTTCCATACAAACCTCGAACTCTGCCCATGTTGGAGTCTTCCAAATGATAGGATGGCTTTAAAGGGCATCCAAAAGGCACCCCGCCAGTTTTTAGGGTGCCCCTATTTTGAGCAACACCCAAATGGATGTGGCTCAAGGGAAATGGAACCCAAAATGGCTTCTCAGTCCAGGTTCCTTTGGCTTCCCTCTGAAACAAGCCTTGACAGGAACTAACCGCTGGAGTTTGACGTTATATAGTCCCAAACAGGTCCAAGCAAGTCCAACCCGGCCTTTTCTTTCCTAGGATTCGCCAACAGGCTTTCCTGGATAATGCATTGGAAATGTGGGTGGGATTGGGTGGGCCAAACAGACGGTAGATTCCCAGGAATTAATCTAGTTTGCGACTCACATGATAGCCTGACACTAAGGTTCCCCTTGAGGGAACGTGGAAAAAATCCCGTAGCAAGGGACCCTCATCCTGGATATCCTCGCGTTTCCCCGCGGTCAGCTCGCCATGCATATCAGCGGGGCATGAAAGAAGAATCGGTCGCAGGTGGATCATCCAGCGGGGGAAACCTTCCGTCAAGGGTGGGGAAAATTCGGGTGCTCCAGACGATTGGTACGGCAAGGCTCTGGGCTTGCGAAAAGGCTGAAACTTCCTTCGGCTTCACATGAAGCAAGGCACAAAGTGCACACTGAACCACGGATAGAAGTTCAGACAAACTGCTGAACTTGTTCTCCCAGAAGCCCCAAGGAGTCCGTTAGGGACTTTGGCGAACACTGGAAAAATAGCAGAGCTCGCCATATTTCCGCTTTCCTGGGTGACATGTTCAGGGGAAATTTAGGGAACCCTGTCTTTCCATGTTCGCAACCCAGTTGCCGACCCAGTCCGATGTGGTTTTTCACACGGTCCATGATGCAATCCGTTGAATCAAGGTACTGCCTTGGCCCTGGTACACCGAACATACTTTCTGATGTTCCATGTCCGCCGACATTCCGGGTGACGGACACAGTGACACCCGGACTCCCCTTTGGTCCGGGGCCAGTTTGGGTGCCGAAGCCGTTTTGGGGGCCTGTGCCGCAAAAACCTGAAAGAAAGCGCGCTCAACGATGGGCCGCATACCCGAAAAAGCCGCAAAAAAACACTCGGGTGTTCGCAAAGTCGGCGGCCTGAGCCGAGGAGACTCCAGTTGCAATGATCCAGAAATCAAAGCTGCCCGGTATCTTTTCAGAAGCAAAACCTTTTGCGCCAGCCCGCCGCTGTTTTACTTAAATAATGGCAAAAACAGGTGACATTCGGCACATAGCTGGACCCGGTGTCCTTGTCCACAGCACATTCGCCAGTCCAAGCCCTGACTGACTTGCAAAGGCCCAGTGTCAAAGTGTGGGCGAAGATCTGACGCCCGCAGGGAGCTCTGGAAATGAAAGGGCCTAAGCAGCTACACATATTTCTCCCATGGTCATAATTTGATTAAAACCCTACTTCTAACTATTTCGGCCATGTCACTTCCTGAGGGTTGACCACAAAAGTAGCTCACTTGTTGTTCGCCACTAACACGGTCCAGACTCAAAAAAATGACGAAAGTCCAGGAACTCCAGGAGTGAGCTATACCGGGTTCCCTATGTTTCTTCCATAAAGCATCATCCTGCCAAAAAGAATCTCACCTTAAACTGAACAAAAAAGTGATGCGGGGACAAAAACAAACGAATAAGAATAGGTGTCTCTTGCTTTGGCCTTGGCTTAGAGGGAGGCCAACAGGAAACCGAGGCCATGGGTCCCCGGATCCCTTGGGGCCGCAGCCATGCACTTGATGTGCTCTACGTTGCCCGCCTCCGCGGGTCGGGCTTTGACCCCCCGGCCCAGGCAGGCGGCTTCTTTCGGAGGCAAGGAATTGGGTCGATTTTAGGATTCCTATGGCCCTGGGAAGGGGACGGAAGGGGCCAAGAAGTCCCTATGGCCATTGTGGAAGGAGCCAAAGAATTCGCATGGCCAAGCAACCGGAATGATCTTCGTTAATCAAGATCGCGTTAGCGTCATCGGCTGACATTACCAATTCATTTGCAACACTGGGTCTCTGACCAGTCGCGTCGCCCACTGATAAGAATTCGGATGGTCACAAACTTGTGGAACTTTAGTGGATCGGACAAATGTCACCTCCCCCGTGTCCAAACAAGATTTGACAAGAGTCGCAAATGATAGCTTCGTGGTATTAGCTTTTCAGCTAGCCACATTAACCAAGTGTCTGAACGAAGTGTTCCTTTTGTACTGACTTCGATTACTGTCGCAGCATCAAATTCATCAGTAGGGTAAAACTACCCTGTCTCACGACGGTCTAAACCCAGCTGCTCACACTGGGGCATCCGCCTGTCCACAAGAAAAGCTGCCCTGATACAAGATGACACAAGGGGCTGAATATTTGCAATAAAACCGGAACAAGTCAAACATATCATTGGTCTTGAGTATGGCAGCAACTAGTTGACCAATAACTCAATGCTGGGGCTGTTCGCCCGGACCGAGTTTTTACCAAGTACAGACCCGCCCTTGCTGGTGCCAAGGTGAACTTGCAAGCACTTCAAAATGCAGCAAGTGGTCTGCAACGGCTTTCCATCGGCATGGCTTTCAAACGCGGTGGCCTGCGTGTCGGCGAATGGAAACATGTATAAAATAAACGTTTCAATTATAGAAGCATATTCGTCAGGAACAACCACTGATTGCTCAAAGGCGCATAATATATATATATATAGACATACATACATGTATTGTACATATGTGCATACACTACACTACATTACATTACGTTACAATGCACACATACACATACATACACATACATACACATACATACAGTACATTACATTACATTCCGCTACGTTACATTACATTACATTGCATTACATTGCATTACATTACATGGGGACGAGAGAGAGAGAGAGAGAGAGAAAAAAAAAGAGAGAAGATAGAGAGAGAGAGAGAGAGAGAGAGAGAGAGAGAGAGAGAGAGAGCGCCTGCGCGCAACAAAAACCAAATCCCCAGACAGGAATTTAAAACTCCATTTCGCGGGCCTGCCTATAAGGGAGAATCGATGTTCGAGGAACACCTAAAAACCTAACAGTGGAAACCTGGAAAGCCCAACTGCATTACATCCTGACACTCAACAACGCTTCTGCCTGCCCGTTCCGTGGCTCGTTGGGCCCGTGGAAATTGTAGCCTGCGCTGAAGCCAGGAAGCTAAAGAATTGGTGGACGCTCAGGGTCTATTTTGCGATCAGCGAGTTTAGGTTCTGGGTGCTTTCTCAGGGCTTGAGAATGCAACTCTAGGCGTCCAACAGGGCGTCCACTCATCCAATATGCCTCTATAGTCATAGTCATTTGGATGTGGAGCACACTTTTGCAGCGCCGAGGAAACAAACACCCAAATGAAAACCACCAGCCCCCTACGCGTGGGTTCTGCATTGACGGTTTCAAAACGGGGCTCCGTACTTGGGGACTGCAAATGCCATCGTCAACTCAAACCAATGAACAAATATGGGGGCACGCTGAATGACTTTCGTGCATTTTCCTGGCCATTGCAAATGGGTCAGCTGCCAACCACAGCGCCGTCAAACATTTGCCTTGGGGAACCGAAATAAACAAAGCACTGCTCGACTAACAAGCAACACAAGCTACGTCAGCTCGCCGAGCATTCTGGGATCGCCGGGAACTCCCAGCATCAATGGCGCTGTTCCGCCAGGTGAACTCACCTCTTTTGCGCAGGAAGGGACTATGCACTTGGGATTGATTTTGTAAAAGAACAAGCCTGAAGAAATGAACTTCTGTTGAGTGAGTTGACACCAATATAGTGGGGGGGGGGGGAAGCAAAGAACCCTGGCCGGTCTGTTTGTTGGGTGTGTTTCCTTCAAGACCAAACGGGGGGGGGGGTTCGGCGGACGGGCCTTGATTTCGGGGTGTAAGAAAAATTCAAGGCGTTGGACTATCATCTTTGAAGCTTGTTCAAATATCTCCTGCACCACATCGAGCTTTCCCTTGGAGCGCAAACCCCAATCCGTTCACGCCTACCGTCCGATTCTCGATGACCTCATGGTCCAAGC